AAATGTTGTTGCCATTGAAATTTAATGAACTATCATGTTTTTGAAATCACAAGCGTGAAGATAACTTTGGCAATCTTTTCACGTGTGGTTAATGTGAATCTGTATTACATACAGCTAACACACTGAAATGTGTTTAACTCTCGGGAGGCTAATGCGGAGATTGATCCCGGAGAGTAAATCCACGAGATTTGTTATTTGATTCGCCCCAGAACTATTGTTAGCATTCTGGGCGCGTCGATTGTTCCAAGCATAGATTCCAGAACTGGTTCCGTCTGACTGATTGTCATTTTGAGTCTGTACGAGAGATGGCACCTGACGTAGAAGACTTGACTATCATTACAGGACGTGAAGAGGAAGGCAGAAGATGTAACAGTTGGAATGTGAGACATAAGCCCTTCCAAATTGGACAGGAGTGAATGTGAGCATGAGGGAGAGATGAAATGTTTTATTTAAATAGACATGCTTGATGTTAGTATAATATACATGCTTAGTGTACATCTAGAGCAGATACTACAAATATGCGCTTGTTTCTTCATTCTCCAGTTCCCACATTGGGCAGGGACTAGTAGGCATCCATTATTTGCCGACCGTCGAGTGTAACGACCTGCAGAAAGCAGTGAGGACGACAAACTGGAAAAGATAGGCAGGGTCTCATGCCGAGAACTGTCCAAAGGTTGTTACTTTCCAATACCTTTATGATTTCATCATTCACATAACCTAAACTCTACTAGCCTAAACAAGTTCATTTTATTTTAATTTCGATTTATTAAATAAATCTTTTTGATGGTGTTTAAACAAAGTTGAGTAAATTGTGTACTTAGGTTCAAGTGTCTTTGTGCATATTAGTTTACTTCAGCTAACAAATATTTAAATCACTTGATGGGGGCTTTTAAGTAATGCCAGGAGAGGAGAATAGTCGCAGGGGTTAACTCTGTATCGAGATAATATCACAGTGGGTGTATCCTGATATCTATCTATCCCTTCTCCTACTCCTGTGGATACAAGTACAGCAACTTTCATTTCATGGAACGAGCCACTCGATGTTTTCTTGGCTATCCAGGACTGTCTAGGATCAACATAGCTTAGATAATAGTCCAGTTTCTCACGTGGGTGGGCATTGTTAAGGTTCAAACCCACACCCTCACTATATCAGTGTATTTACCCACGTGGGCGCGCGACAAAAGTGGATGTAGTCAGCTGTCACCCTAGCTGAGATATACTGAGAAGGAGATTGGAGGCCTAATGGGCTGAATATAACAATGTTGTTAAGCGTGTCCTAATGTCTAATACTTTTTATATGAGTGTCAGTCAAAACATGTCAGATTGTATATTATAGTTTTTCTACGACCAGAGACTGACGGTCCAATATGGCAGACAGCAGACTTGCTGATGACGTTCTGAAAAGTTATTTGTCTCTAGCCAGTACAAATATCTTGTTTCCGGGCCGAAAGATAAAAGTTTCCATCGTCCAGGTACATAACTACATGCCTAGTTGAACACTGTGAGCTGTTGATTTCGTGTGGAATGCCTCCTTCCATTTTTCCGTTGTGCCCGCGACAGTTGTGTGATGTTGATTGCGCTAAAAATAGCCGAAAACATTCGGAATGGCGCGTATGTATGTAGTATCATGTATACAATGCTGGCTATCGTAACTGACTGCTTGCGTCAATAGTGATCTGCATTATGGTGTGTTACTGTCAGTATAGGCGCATCTGACGGCAACCTTATGTATTTACTTTGCCTGTACGAGCTTCAATATTTTGCTATGACTGAGATATTTTTCAGTAACCTCCAAAGTGAAAGGCGTTTTGTGTGATCTTAAATGGCCCAGAACGGAGCAATTATGGGGCAACCTGTCTGCAGAGAAGCTGGAGACTCGACTAACGACCTCAAGAGTTTCCAACCTCTTTTTAAATGTTTTTAATGTTTGTTTTCTTTCTGTAAAAAGATAAAGTCGGGAGATGTGAACCAGCGTCATTGCACACGGTTATAAACCATAAGTACTCTGCCACCAGTACGGACAGCTGATAAGAAACTCTCCGCCTGTGTCGCCGTCCGCATGAAACTCCATAGCTACAGCGCCGTTCCTCCATTTACCCCAAAGTGTTAACTCTGGTACCCATTTCCTAGAGGCTGGGTGAACCCGGGTATCGAACACCGGCCGCGGGCTGCAGCGAGTCGCAGTTGGATCTGAAATGTAGTCTCCTATCGACTGCGTTAACGCGGTCCCTCATGTAATTTATGTAGAATATAAAGAAACTGACCAAACCAATCGCTTCTCCATTTAGACACAGCATTAATGCCTGCTGTATTTGTATGTGCTGTGTTTTTCGACCTATGCTTGGTTAATATGAATTTATGTAGCTTATGATGCAATTTAAATAGTTTGCGACTAATTTTATCCGTATTCCATGGACGTAAGTCCAAATTACGTGACAGAAGTGGCTAGTGATAACAACTGTATTAGGGTGTCTAGCTGGTCATGCGTCGAAGTAGACTTGTTCCTGCGGCCAGGCGCTATCATCATCTAGGGGTAACAGGTTAGATTCCCAGTATGATAACTATGGGTTACATTTTTATTGTTGTCTAGGATGTCATCAAGTCTTTTAAAATCTTTTCATGTGCGAGTCAATACGTGTTCATTTATTGTATTACATAATATGTTAATTACATAATATGTTAATTACTTTTATTATACTGTTATTGAATGATTGCTTCGCAATGCAGTGAAAATAATCTGTAGAAAAACCAAAGCTCGTGTGCGATAAACAGCGGTGTTTAAACAGACAAGCAAGTGGTACATTCCTTCATTGAGAAAGTGCCGTCCCAGCAAAAAATCTTAGATGGAAATTTTTTATTAAGAAAACCTTGAGGCATTGATTTTCTTAAGAACTTCTTATATCCACTAGCTAGCCTAGTTGGCTAAACTTGACTTCGCGGTGACCGGGTGAAGAACTCCTTGTAGTCCGGGTTCACTCCCGGGGATAAGCAGAAAAGCCACATTTTCTCCTAGATTTACGGTACCTATCATGGAATCAAGGCCGAAGGGTTGCGATATCCATAGTACCGAGCCAAAAGGTTAACAACTCATGGTTTCTGGAAAATAAGATAAAAAAAAAAAAAAACATATCCACTAACTAGTTCCTCCTTTCCAAATTTTCTAGCTCCACGTATGCCCCTGTGACATTTTGGATACACTGGGAACTGAAGTCCCACCAGTGAGGTCCTAAAAACGGCTACATGATAAAGGGCAGTCGGTGACTTGGCGGGAAACACAAATATTCAAGGTAATGACCCGCAGTGCGCTGTTTACTTCCTCGCGCTACCTGGAGGAATGACATATGGCGAAACTACACTGTGTGTGGAGTTACCTTCATCTTTGTTTCATTGGATGCGAGTGTTGATTGAAATGAAAAAGCCGATAGATTGGACGGTTATGACTTAGATGCAGACAGCCTGCCTATGGATCGCGCCGAAATTGTCAATGCCCTTAGAAAATCAAGACGATCGGAGATTTTTAGGAACAGCTTGTCCACATAACTGCTAAGAAAGAATTGGGCGTAAACAGCGCCACAGTCAAGTATGAGAAGTACACCGGACAAGTGCAGTAAGTTTGATAACCAACATAATATTGGTACTATTAACCTTGGAACATATATATATATATATATATATATATATATATATATATATATATATATATATATATATATATATATATATATATTGAAGAGGGAAGCTGGGCAACTTTGGACGTGTCCCGAGTGCCACGAAGATACTCTAACTCCTGACATAAGTCTATAAGTCTATCTATTCTAATGTTGGGAGCAGCAGTGGCGCAGTGGCTAGTCGTTTGTCTGTTGCTCCGAAAGCTACTGTTCGAATCCATATTGCGGCTTATTTTCATAAATGGTCTAGGCTCACAAGTTCACAAGGATACAGGGGTTGGAAAAGTATATGGGAAGGTCAGTCTGTTGACGTTATGCTGACATCGTTATCCGTCGAGTGCTGATAGTTTTATAAACCATGGGTCTATCAACGTGTCTGAGATAACTGGCGTAAAAAGAGTTATTTATATACTTGACTATGTATGTGTTCATGCTGAACTGAGGCGCAGACTTAGACATTTCCAAATTTAAAAAAAAAACACACACACACATACAATATACCGGGCCATGAGTAAAAAGCCAGAGGTCTGTAAGTTGGTAAGTAAGATGGTAGGTCTGTAAGTATTTAAGTAAGATGGTAGGTCTGTAAGTACTTAAGTAAGATGGTAGGTCTGTAAGTAGGTAAGTAAAATAGTAGGTGTGTAAGTTGGTAGGTAAAATCTGTAAGTTAGCAGGTAAGATGGATTTTGAAATTATGTCAGCGTAGATGGCAAATCATCGCACCCATACACCCCGGTCAAACTTTAAAGAGGTCATGATTAGGACATCAGCAACAGCTACACCGGCAGTCTTGTGCCAGCTACACCAGCAGTCTTGTGCCATCTACACCAGCAGTCTTGTGCCAGCTACACCAACAGTCTTGTGCCAGCTACACCAGCAGTCTTGTGCCAGCTACACCAACAGTCTTGTGCCAGCTACACCAACAGTCTTGTGCCAGCTACACCAACAGTCTTGTGCCAGCTACACCAACAATCTTGTGCCAGCTACACTAACAGTCTTGTGCCAGCTACACCAGCAGTCTTGTGCCAGCTACACCAACAGTCTTGTGCCAGCTACACCAACAGTCTTGTGCAAGTCACGAGGCTTCCTCTGCCGGCGTAGCTTGGAAAATATAGCCCTCTGGCCTACATAAATCGCAAATGAGTGTTTTGCCCTTTATAAAATAAAGCTCTTTTCGACAAGAAACAGACTGCATTTACATTGGTTGCATCTGTGCATGTTTCGTCTTTCCTTTAGTTAGCTCTGGGCAAACAGAAAATGAATATTTTACGTTAGTAGACGGGATAAAAATTAGGAATACAAGGTTGCATGAAACTGTTGAAATCATCTTACCTTTCATCTGGAAAAAACTCATGTTCTCTATGGCACGAATAGCCGGTTTGTTGTCCAGTGTCAGCTCGAACTCGGGGCTTACACGAGGGGCCAGCTCCATTTCCTTGTTAAAATTTTGGTCGGCCGTGGCGACTCTACTGATTAGACCAGGCGATACCTTGAAAAGAAACAAGAAACACTGTTTATCGCAGTTATTACTTCTGATGCTGTTGGTTCTTCTTCTTCTTCTTCTTCTTCTTCTTCTTCTTCTTTTTCTTCTTCTTCTTCTTCTTCTTCTTCTTCTTCTTCTTCTTCTTCTTCTTCTTCTACTTCTTCTTGAAGACCGCTTTTCTTCTCTACCTCATCGTATTCATGTTTCCCTTCTACTTCCTCAGACTGTTACCGGCATTTTAATTCTCCTCAACCTATTCCTTCCCCTCCTCTTAATCCCTCTCTTCTTCTTGGAACCCACACCCACCGGACCAGCAAACTCCTGTGCTAGCCATATCGCTACTGCGACTTCTTCCCTTTCAGAATATGAGTTCATGACCAGAATGTGTTGGTACAGCGGCCCTGGTCCGGTAACCTAGTTTACTCAGTGACGTCCGTGATCAAGCGGGATTACTTGCAGGCTGTAACCAGATTCTAGACACGGCCAGACAGCCCTTCATCAGGGGCGCCGTCTCAAAGAACTCGATGGTGTGGGTTGGGAGCACCTCAATCCATTTTAATTCTAATGTTATAGGGGCGATTGTGGGGTTAAAGAGGCTTAAATAAGCTTAAAATAAGTATTATTAATATTTGTTTCTATTACTAAGTCGTCATCCTTCAAGCTCAAGTTCAGTCCCAAGTTATTGCCAACAAAGTACTCAGTTATTGCCAACAAAGTACTCAGTTATTGCCAGCAAAGTACTAAGTTATTGCCAACAAAGTACTAAGTTATTGCCAACAAAGTACTAAGTTATTGCCAACAAAGGACTAAGTTATTGCCAACAAAGTACTAAGTTGTTGCCAACAAAGTACTCAGTTATTTCCAATAACTTAGTACTAATTGCCACCAAGTCACATGCCATTGCCAACACGTAAAAAGTCGTTGCCACAAAGTCCCAAGTCATTGCCAGTAAGTTCCAGGTCATTGCCAGTAAGTTCCAAATCATTGCCACCAAATCTCAAGTCATTGCCACCAAATCTTAAGTCATCGCCACCAAGTACCAAGTCATTGCCAACAAGTCTCAAGCCATTGCCAACAAGTCTCAAGTCATTGCCACCAAGTCTCAAGCCATTGCCAACAAATCTCAAGTCATTGCCACCAAGTCCCAAGTCATTGCCACCAAGTCTCAAGTCATCGCCACCAAGTCCCAAGTTAATTCTCAAGTCATCAATAATTCAAGTCGAGTCTTCAGTCAAGTCACTTCGTGTATCAATACGCGCATGGTCCAATGCTTACGAATTTAACTAACTAGTCTCAAACAACAGTCAACAACCACTAGATTGTTATTTTACATGCAAATCGCTGAACCGAATGCATACAATTACATATTGAAGATATTGTTATTTTAATAAACTGGGTGAAAACTGAAAAGTTGTCACATTTTTTTAAAATTATTATGTTATTACTTTGTTTGATCTCAAAGTAGCCTGCCGCGAAGATAAAGTCTGACAAGGTCGTGAAAACTACGAGTCGCCAGTTGCCGGACAAAATCCAAGGTCGAGTCGCAAATCGTTAACTGAAGTCAGACAGGAGTCCCGCCCTCCACTTTTAAATAAAAGTAAAGGACCCTTTTCCCAGTCTTCAGGCTAATATAGGTATATAGGGCTAGACCTATATTTTATAGACCATTGGCAATCGGTGGGCAATGTGGTCAACATCACACCAGCCGCTTTTACGTGGAGGTTCGTAATAAGTCACCCCCCAGATGACGTCATGGGGACAGTCCAATATTTTACAGGGTGGTATGACCGGCTTTGTGGTGCTTTTAACTACCACGAAACACCTAGAACTGGACCTAACCCTAACCCACCTTCGTTCCATGAGACAGTAGAGCCTAGGTCCCACGACTGCATGCAGCCTATCTACCACCCACTGCAATATTGGACTGTCTGTTTGGGGTGAATAAAAATCGAAAGCACCTAATGGGATCTCAGCCCCCACCAACCCCCTCCTCCCATTGCTTGGGGGTTAGAGGTGCATGAGCCTCGATGTTCCGGCGCCCCTCTCCTACTTTCAACAGGCAAGATTGAAGAGGATAATCATATTTTTCGTTCCCTGTGAGAGTTGAATTTACATTGACGTTCCATTGTATCACCTCCAAATATAGAAGTTTTTCAGACAGATATACTTGTTTACTGGGCGTGTCGTGCAGACGTCTGACAGGCGGGGATCAGCCCAGAGATAGATGGGTATTCCGTATTATCACGGGATCGTAAATATTCTGTGGACGACGTTACAAGCTCCGGGATAGTCGAAAGACATTCTGTGCTTCTTTTTCTTCTTCTTCTTCTCTGCTACTGCTGCTGTTACTACTACAAGTACTACTACTTACTACTATTACTACTACCAGTCCAACTACTTACTAATACTACTTTTACAACTACTACTTACTATTACTACTACTTACTATTACTACTACAAGTGCTGCTACTTACTACTACTACTTACTACTACTATTACTACTACCTACTACTATTACTTCTACAAACGCTACTACTACTACAAGTACTGCTACTTACTACTACTACTACTGCTACTTACTGCTACTATTACTACTACTATTACTACTTCTATTACCACTACTATTACTACTACTTACTACTATTACTACTACAAGTGCTACTACTATTAATACAAGTACTACTACTTACTTCTACTATTACTATTACTTGTTCTTCTACTTCTCTGTTCTTTCTCACCTCCTCCTCCCTCTTCGCTTGTCCTAAAACTGCGATAAACGTTTTGTTGTGGTTATCAATTAGGCTGAAATATCTGCATGTCTTGCTTCTCAAACCATACACCCTCCTCTCCTCATACTAGTGCTTGTCGACCTAACCGATTTTCGGTCTGCATATTTGTGCCACACTGCTCCATTTTCCTAAAATAATCATCACTATTAAAACTATGACTATTACACCCAACAGTATTAAAACCAACACTGTTAAAACTATTATTATTAAAACCGACATAATCTGTGGTTAACTCCCGCAAAAAATACAAAAGTGATTATCTTGTTCGGGTTTTTTGTCAAAGAGAGTAGCAACTTAACGCGCACCGCCTCAGAACAGGTGGAACATTCACTTACAAGCGATAGATGCATCGTCAAAACTCATGGAATTAGCCAGGCGGGATTTGTTCTACAGCATAAGGAGGTCTTGACTGTAGGTCTCTTGTGGAACATTAGCTAAGAAAATGTGCACCGTTCGGAGATTTCTCATTTTCTTTTTCTTTTTGTTTTGTAAATTTTCCAGTTGAATGGGAATAGATGGCAATTACAGGCCAAAGAATTGCATTATTTTTTTCTGCGAATGTTTTAAATTAGTTGCATTCTTCTTCTTCTTCTTCTTCTTCTTCTTCTTCTTCTTCTTCTTCTTCTTCTTCTTCTTCTTCTTCTTCTTCTTCTTCTTCTTCTTCTTCTTCTTCTTCTGTTTCTTCTTCTTCTTCTGTTTCTTCTTCTTCTTCTGTTTCTTCTTCTTCTTCTGTTTCTTCTTCTTCTTCTTCTTCTTCTTCTTCTTCTTCTTCTTCTTCTTCTTCTTCTTCTTCTTTCTTCTTCTTCTTCTTTTTCTTCTTCTTCTTATTCTTCTTCTTCTTCTTTTTCTATTCACTCCTCTTCTTCTTCTTTTTCTCATTTTCCTTCTTCTTCTTCTTCTTTTTCTTCTTCTTCTTCTGTTTCTTCTTCTTCTTCTTCTTCTTCTTCTTCTTCTTCTTCTTCTTCTTCTTCTTCTTCTTCTTCTTCTTCTTCTTCTTCTTCTTCTTCTTCTTCTTCTTCTTTTTCTTCTTCTTCTTATTCTTCTTCTTCTTCTTTTTCTATTCACTCCTCTTCTTCTTCTTTTTCTCATTTTCCTTCTTCTTCTTCTTCTTTTTCTTCTTCTTCTTCTTCTTCTTCTTCTTCTTCTTCTTCTTCTTCTTCTTCTTCTTCTTCTTCTTCTTCTTCTTCTTCTTCTTCTTCATCTTTTCGCTCTTCTTCTGATACTTCTTCTTCTGTTTCTTCTTCTTCTTTTCCCTCTTTTTCTTCTTCTTCTTCTTCTCCTTTTTTTTATGTTTCTTCTTCTTCTTCTTTTAATCTTTTTCTTCTTCTTCTTTTTCTTCTTCTTCTTTTTCTTCTTCTTCTTTTTCTTCTTCTTCTTCTTCTTCTTCTTCTTCTTCTTCTTCTTCTTCTTCTTCTTCTTCTTCTTCTTCTTCTTCTTCTTCTTCTTCTTCTACTACTTCTTTTTTTTCTTTTTCTTCTTCTTTTTCTTCTTCTTTTTCTTCTTCTTTTTCTTCTTCTTTTTCTTCTTCTTCTTCTTCTTCTTCTTCTTCTTCTTCTTCTTCTTCTTCTTCTTCTTCTTCTTCTTCTTCTTCTTCTTCTTCTTCTTCTTCTGTTTTCTTCTCCTTTTTCTTCTTCTTCTTCTTGTTCTTCTTGTTCTCCTTCTTATGTTTTATTCTTATGTTGTCGTCCTCTGTTTTCTTCTTCTTCTTCTACTTCTTCTTCTCATTATTATTATTATTTTTTATTATTCTGTCTTCTTAGCGTTCATCCGCTGTAAACTCCGGTGGTAAATTCAAGCTGCGGAGCTACTTGTGGACTTTAGTCTTGCTGCAGAATGAGTTTTGAGTGCGCATCCGTGTTACAATTACTCTAATTTCAAAGGGAACACCTCATGCGACATTCTTATTATAAGATAATGGATGTTTTACCCCACCCAAACCCACCCCCCCCCCACCCCATTTTATTTCGCCCCTCCCCAACAGTCGAGTCACGGAATCACACAGAAAACGTTTAACTGAAAAGCCCAGACTTTCTTCAGTAGTGGCAGCAGCAAAATATGGCTTTAACTACACACTCCTGAATAAAAAGCTGCCAATTGCAATGATAAAGTGTCATGTAGAACATAAAGGTAAGGTAAAGTCGGGAGACGTGAACTAGCGTCATTGCACACGATTATAACCATAAGTGCTTTGCCACCAGTGCGGACAGCTGAAAAGAA